CCCTCTGTTGAATTCCAATGAAGACCAAAAGATAACAGAACATCACAACTCAGCAATGTTTAATACTAGAGAACAGTAGACTGTTGAGCTATGACACTCCTGCAAGAGGGTGAGGCTCACAGCACTTGTAAGTCCCCACAAATTGGCTGCCAGTTAGGCCCTCAGACAGGCAAACTCCCTTGAATGGAAGAGCATTATAGCCCCTTCCCTCTTCACTTAAAAAGCTGGTCTGAAGAAAAGACAAGGGGCCAAATACTGCTCCCAGTCAAACCGATGTAAGATGGAGAGTAACCATAGATGTCAGAGGAGTCACTCCAAATTTACAAAAAGAACTAGAGTACTTGTGGCACCTTAGAGACTAACAAATTTACACAGGTGTAAGAGAAGAATTAACCCCACAGTCCCTGGATCCACTTTGATCAGCACAGCCATGCTGCTGCAGCCTCTCTGAAGGGCAGGAAAGGAACAGAGAGATGCACTACAATCACCCTCCTCTAAGAGGCAGAATACAACTGAAATAAAAGCCTGAAGCCCTTTGATGTCCATGAATCACAGAAACTGTTCTCAAAATTCCTGTAAACCAGATGTCAAACACTCACCACACTGAAAAACAAACTCCTTGCATCTGTGCTAGCAGACAGAGCATACAACTGAAAACAGATCACTTTGCCCCAGATCTTTATTCAACAATTCACATTAATGGAAAGGCTGGCAGGAGAAGGGACAAGGGGCTGGGGAGGGAAAATAAGTTTTCAGAAGACAATTTTACTCATTTGGAATATGATCATGGTCATTTTGTACGGGGCTACTTGCCCCCTCAGTCCACCTTTTCAACAAAGCATACAGCAAAATGAAGGGCTCAGTATCACAGAAATCTCTCTGCCCAAGTGCATAATTAAGACTTTGCCTCTGGTATCGCATAACAGACACTACACACTCTGAACTTGGCATTAAGACATAGATCCAACTTTTAATAAGTTTAACTTCAAGCACACTGCCAATAAGAGAATACCAGACCTACTATAACCCTAAATACATGATGCTAAGATCTTATACACTGTATACACTGACTCAAAGCCATCTGGAATGGCTTTGACATGATACCAATAATGAATGTGATGAGAGAGAGAGATTTTATATTACACATATGAACTTTACATGTATTTTATTATGTAGTAAGTGCATACATTTCCTGCTCCATTATTACACAACTGCATTCCATGTAACCAACCAACTTAAGCACCGGTTAGTGGTGAAGTTGGTGAACTAATGTTTCATTTTTCATATGCCGATATAGATGCTCTTTACCGTTACATGGAATATGTTTGAAAGTTGCTGCAATAATTAATACCTGTAGTTGCTATGAAGTTTTTGGTGTATAAGAACTGGAAGAGCCAATAAGCTTTAACAACACAATACAGTGTTTCTTCTATTCAGAAAAGAGCAACAACAAAAAAACAAAATAAATACCTGAATATTTAAGGTTGAGATCAGCATCTGTGTTGAATCTACCAATGGCATGCTTAACTAATAGGATTTCTGGACTATTTTTAAAACACAGGGAGGGAGGGGGGCTTATGTTGTTAGCTTTCTGTTTTAAAACTGCCTAACACTGAACACCCACTTCTCAAACCTTTTAAAGAATAATAGTCGCAAAGTCATTAAAATCAAAACAAAAGACCATTTCTTCCATAGAGTTTTCTTACCTGTATCCATTCTCAGCCGTTTCTGTAGCTCTGACATTTGCTGTAACCCTCAAAGTCTTGCTGGATAGCCCAACTACAGAAGGCAAGATTTTGTTTTTAAAGTCCACACAGCTCCATTCTTCTTCTTCATTCAAGGTTGGGAGATAGCCACAGACAACTTTTAAGCTCCCCAGTCCATTGCTGTTAATATAAGCAGGATTCTCTCCCCCACTCCTTACATATTCGAGGTATATATCAGAAGTTAAAAACATCTGGTAAGCATTTTCCTCCATCACAGTCTGAATTTCAGTCTGTGCCTGATCAAACATTATAGAATCTATCTGCTGCTTCTTGATACTATCTCTTATATAGGTCTTAGTGGCAGGCTTGAGCTGCTTGGAGACAATGCTGTTGTTCTCAATGTACCTTTTGTATATAGCTTTGGCTACTCTTAAAGTTTTGGTATCCTTAAGGTCCATCTGCCTGAAGCCATTGCAGGCAAACCAGAAGTCTAAGGTATCCACACATTTCTCTCTTTCCAGGAAGGTCCGAAAAAGATAGGCACCATCTTGATCCCCCAACAAGGAATGCAGAGATTTGGTCCATCTTGCCAGAGGGGAGTCTGGAGATGCACTGCCTTCCGGCTCGCCAAGACCATCCTCATTCCTCCTTGGGTTGGAAGAAATTGACATGGCCTTGAAGCTTTGGCTTTTCATGACAAACGAGCTTGCAGGCTGTTGGCATGGTGTCTCTCCTTCCTCGCCTGGCACAGGGGGGCGGGGGGCGTCTTCCCTGAAGTTGCTGCTGGGGTCTGGAAGGTGAGTCAGCAACACAGCACTACTCATGGCTCCACGAGTTCTTCTGGTAGGGTTTTTCCGCCCCCCCTTAAATTCCTCAGTAATCTACCTCTATGTGTGTGTGTGTGTGTGTGTGTATGTGCGCCTCTCTCTCAAGTCAGCAGGAGATCCTCTGAGCCTCCTCTCTGGAAAAAAAGAAAAGAAAAGAGTATTGATCTAATCAAAACCAGATCCACCCAACATCAAAGACAAAAAGTAAACAGGCTTTTCAACTCTTCACATTACAAAAAAGAAACAACAAAAGAAACAAACGCACAGCTATCTGCAGTGTTAATCAAAAGTATCAGATATGCTTTTCTGAACTCCCGGCGCACTTTTAACTTGGGGGGCGTTGGGGGGGGCTGGAAAGAAAAAGAATTAACCCTTCATTTACACTGCATATATAATCACAACCTACCAAACCCGTCTCCAGTGAAGACACCCCTCTTTACAAAAATACAGGTAACCTTCTCCCCTCTCAGTGATAGCATCAGGCACACAAACTTGGCTCTGTCCTGCTGTTTGCAGGGTAAACCAGTTTTGCGCACGCACACACAACTCCCCCCCCAATTTTGCCTCTTTTTTGCAGATAACTCAAGGCAGGGAACAAGACGTGCCTTTCTCGGCATCTGGTTTCCATTTTACCCCCCTCTCCTCTCACTCCTTAAAAATTTAGATTATGATCACCAGAAGCCCTACTAGCACAATGCTGAATGCTGTTTTGGAACGGCACGTTCAGAAAGACTTTGGGGGGGGGGCGGAATCACTACAATGTTTCATTTTAAAAACAGTTCTGACTCATTTTAGAAGTTCAGCCTTCAAAATAAAAAAAACTGCCATGGATTTGGTTAAGTTAAGCACATGCACTTGTTAAAAGTTTGAAGGAGAGAAGAAAAAGAAATCACCAACCCATTTGCCTCCAAAGGCTGACTCACTAGTGACTTTTTTTTTATTAGAACAAGTTTCCATCATTAGAAGGTAAATGTGAAACTAACTAAATCTTGCTATAGGTTTAAAAAAAAAGATCAATAAAAAGTAAACACTCACTACGGTGCAGAATGATTTTTAAAAGCTTCTCTACAGTTTTAATAAAACCTGCTTCCATCCAATAAAAAGCTGGTTTAATAAGCATGTGAAAGGCTCTCAAACTAATCAGAAAGCGTGAACTGAGTTCCTGGCTTTTTTCTTTGCTGCACAAACCCAAGCAGAAATTCACACACACATAAACAAGCAGTGTCACCCCTATTATCATCAGTCTCGCAATATCGAGTCCCGTTTGCAGAAAAGGAAGAGAGAGAGAGAAAGTGCCTCCCCCTTATCTATAATGTACCTGATTGCTGGAGGCATCCCGTGCCTGGGCTCTCATCTCCTCCAAGCTCAGCCCCTGCTCCCCACCTTAGAGCAAAAATAAATACACCCAACCACCCCTCCTGCAAACAAAAAAGAAAAGAAAAAAAAGAGCCCCTCCAAAAATAAAAACTAAAGAAGGGAAGAAACAATCCAGGAGGCGCCAAGCCCTCAAAGGACAATCCTGCCAAATAATAATAAAAAAAACCTGCTCCAGAAATGGCGACGGGCAGAGAAATGAGAGGTTGGAAAGAGATCTTAGAGAAAGAGAGAGAGAGGGAGAGTCCTAAACTACTTGCTTCCTCCGAGTCCTGTGCAACAACTGACCCCTAACTAAGCGTGCAGCGCCTCTTTGGAGTTCACAGGGGGTGCTGAGGGGGGTGGGAGGGGTATGGAGGAGGAGAAGGGGGGGGGAGAAAGAGAGGAGAGAAATCTCATTCTCACCACATCCACCTTTAACAAAAATGCATCCTGCTATGTCTGCCTCTCTTTCCCCACCATGCCCATAAAATAAAAGCTTCCCCTCTTGCAGAAAATAAAATTAAAAAAAAAGGCACCGAGAGCTCGGATTTTTGCAACATAATTCAAAAATAAAAGAAAACCCCACTCCGGTGTCAGCCCAGCCCTGCTTGCCCATAGCTAGCACATAAATAGCTTTCCTTAAAACTTCAAAGCCCCAGCGAAGAGCACATCAAAGCGCCCCGGAGAGGGAGAAAAGCGCGGGGGGGCAGCGCTAGGATCACACATACATTCTTCTGCAACTTACCATGGATCTCAGTAGTTTTCTCCGCACCGCCGCCGCTCCGTTCCTCCTTAAAACAACCCCCCTCCCGCCCCCCGGCCCTTTCCCACCAAAAGTATCCGCAATGTTGCCCCGATTGCCCCCCCTATATTTTCTTCTTCTTCCTCCTCCTCTCTGGCTTTGCAATAGCATCTGAGAGCATTGGACGAAAGCGGCTGCAGGGAATGTATGAGTAAAAGCAAAAGAGTTCAGGGTGATCCTCTCCTTCTACCAACCACCGCCCCCCCTTTAAAAAAATACAAAAGAGCTGATCCCTCCCTGCTTCTCCTGACCCCCTACCCCCCCTTCTTTCAACTCAGGTCCTGTTTCAAGCAGTCATTCCATGCACCAAATGTCCTCCAGGCTATTCCAACAAACACTGAGCTGTGGGTTTAACTGTGCACATCAAAGTGAAGAACCGAGAGAACGGTCCTGCAAGGGAGATAAGCGCCTTTCTGCAACACCCCCCCCACCACCACCAAAAAAAAAAAAGCCCATCCCATACACGCCTCAGTTTCCTGTTGCACCATTGCGCCAGACACTCCCGTGGCAGCCTGGCACACAGCTGGAGCGAATTCTTTTTCAAAGGAGGATTTTTTATTATGTTGTCTTTTTTTTTTAATGAAAGCTTTCAGACTTGGAATTTTTTTTTCATCTCTTGAGTTGTTACTAAGTTGCCAGGACCTTATCAAAGGGAAACAATCTCCAGCCAACTCCCCCAGGCCTTGGAACGTCAGAAGTAAGTGATCCTGCCGCCCCAATCGTATTATCCCTGCAATTCTCCCAGAGCTGCCGGAGCCTTAAAGGGACAGGCAACCCCCCTTCACCACGGCTGCTCGCAGCTTTGCGCCCGGCCTGTAACCCTTTCCATGCTCAATCCGCCTTCCTACCCTCATTCGCTCTGTCTCTGCTTTGTCACCAGCCGCCAGCGAGATAGGTATCAGTTGTTCTTGAACTCTTCCCTCCTTAGACAATGCCAACCAACAGCCTATTGCTTTTATTTTTCTGGTCAACTTTAGTACCGGAGGGTTGTGACATTTTCCGTATAAAAAAAAAACAAAAAAAAACCCTTAACTTCCCCCTCCAAAAAAACTTCATTTTAGGAGAAAATTGGCCCGTTTTAATTATCCAAATGCCTGTTTTCAGGCTGCATCCTACTTAAACAATATCGGATTGTAATGTAACTGGCACATAAACCGAACTCTGGTTTAAGCTGTGTTCACATCCCTCTCTCCCCATATGTGAAATATTAACCAGACACAGAATGGTTTTTTTTAAAACTTTATACAAAAGGCTTCAATTAGAGATTGGACCCCAAACCTGTATTCCTCATTCAATCCGTCTCCTCTCCCCGAGGTTAGCTCTTGCATGACACTTCATCAGGAGGTCTCAACACACTTTATAAAGGGAGGTTAAGTAAATCACTACCCTCGTTTTGCAGAAGGGGAAACTAAGGTGCAGGGACTCACCTAAGGTCATCCCGCAATCCAGCTGGGATTAGAACTCATGTCACCTGAGTCCCACATTATAGGCTGCACTAACTCCTTTCCCCCCTTACTCAGATGTGTTTATTTTGGGGGGAAGGGCAGAACCAGAACACCCCTGTCCTAAGTGGAAGGTCCAGTCCCAACTTTGTGGCTGCAGCTCATCTCTAGTTTTAGTGTACTGAAAAACTTTTCGTGTCCCCCTCTAAGGAACACAGAACACATATTTCAGATTTTTTTAAACGGAATGAACAAAATGCAGGGAAAACTTCCCTCTGCCTGGCCAAAACAAGGCAACTGGTGTTTTTGTCCTCGATGGCATGAAAAAAACTTTGCAATCAGATTTTTCTTGTTATTTTTTAGATTATGATTCCGCCCAGAGGCCGCAATCAGGTTCACTCACAGTGCTTTGTCCCAGTACATACAAAGACTGAGTCCCTGAGTATATGATGTAAGGTCCTCATCGTTCCAATATTTATGCATGTAAGTATCTTTACTCACGTGGGTAGGCCCAATAGGACTATTCATGTGCACCGAGTTGCATGCATTATTAGATGTACTTATTTATTTACAGCAGGGCCCCAGCTCAAAAAGCACAGGCCAAAAATCTCACAATCTAAGGAAAATATGTTATGGTCAGAACGTTACTAGATGCATCAAGGGCTGAATTTTAAAAAGGGTTCAGCACTCATTTGTTCTCAGTGGAAAAGGCTGAAAATCAGACCACTTGATTTAGGTGCCAAAATTGAGATGGCTGGACTCTTTCGACAATGCCTGTGTGAGGAGAAGTCAGTGTCTAGAATGGCGCCTACTGCAGGGCAGGGCTGGCACTGCAAGTGAATTACAAGCAGCACATGGGCTATGCTTTTCAAACACCAGCTTCTTTTTTGTGAATGTAATTTATGACAATCCCTTGGAAATGCAAAAGCTACATGCAGCCTGTTATTAGCCTTTCAGACTAACTTTTAACTACAAGACTTGCCTCTCTCTCTGCTCTGCACACATTCCCCCCACCTCCCCAAAGTATACATAGTGGAGGCAATGCAAATAGCAATTATGTAGAATTTCCATCAGCCTGTCTCCAGTACCCAGAGTCTGGAGCAGTCTTTCTCGTTTGTTCACCATCATTTAACGCCACTGGCCAGATGTAAACAGTAACTGGTGCATTTTTGGTTAGGTTTGGGAGTAAGTGGGAGGAAATACTATGGAAAAAAGGCGGATAATACAGAAACGTACTTTGTCCCTGGAGGGTTCTTTCTTTAAAACAACCTTGGGCTGGATCCTCGCTAGTGCATATCCACTGAAGACAATGGGGCCAGATCCCCACGGATGTTACTTGGCATAGCTCCCTTGAAATCAATGGGGTCAGATCCTCAGCTGGTCGCTCCATTGAAGTCAATAGAGCCACACCCCCAGCTGGTGTAAACAGAGACTCTCCTGGATGTGTGCCAGTGGATATCTCTTGAGGATCTGGCCGCTTATTTCTGTAAAATCAAAGCTAACCGACGAAGCGTGTCATTGAAGTGAAACCACTAGACTTTATGGGCCAGGGGAAAGATGCACATTTAATGCTGTGGTGGGAAAGTTGGTGGGACCCTTACTTGTCTCTAATGCATGTTTGGGTTTAATGTCCTGACCTGAGGTATCAAGTGCACAGGGCAAGAAAATATTATAGGCAGGGGGGCCAGGGTCCGTGGTGCATATTTTGGGGGCTACAATCAACACGTGGCACTGGGGTATTTGGGGGGATAATCAGCATGAGGCTCTCGGACATTTCCTGTGCGGGGAATAATTGGTAAGTGGCCTGGAGGAATTGGGGTGCCATAACCGGTACGTGGTGCGGGGGGGGGGGAGAGGAATAATCATGTTGTGGTGGAGCGGGGGCTTTTATTTCTGAGTTGGGAACGGATGGTTACACACAGCCCCTCCCCCGCCGTGCTATTGCATGATTCTTTGTCTTCGTGCCGCTCTGCAGGTCCGAGGGTGTCAAAGAAAAAGCCTTGGGGGGGGGGGGAGTGATCTCTCCCAGAGAGCATGAGGTTTGACAGCTCTAGTTCGACCATGCAGCTGGTGTGTGTCATTCGGACACTTCCCATTGGCCCCTCGCCCTCCCCTGGCTTCTCTGATTGGACAGTCAGCGGGGCGAGAGCCACATGCCGGCGATTGATACATTTGCAGTCGGGCGTGCGGAGGAGGCGGGGCTTGCGTTCCCTTTCATGAATGAGCTGCGCGCTTGGCAGGGTGGGGGGAGGGAGGAGGATGGGCGATCCCTTGTGATCGGCAGGGAAACGCAAAGGCCAGCCACTGTAAGCAAAGCGTAAGGGCTGGGTAGGTTGAAGTATAGATGGGAATCCTGTTCCTCTCTTCAGCCCTGTTGCAGGAGTCCCAGTGGAAAGGGGGAGGGGGTGTTTGTGTGTGTGTGAGATTAGGGTGACCAGATGTCCCGATTTTGGGGGCTTTTTCTTATATAGGTACCTGTTACCCCCCACCCCCTGTCCTGATTTTCCATATTTGCTATCTGGTCATCCTTATGTGTGTGAGTGAGAGAGAGAGAGAGAGAGTTATGCAGTGAACTCATCTCCCATCCAAAGCTATCTGTTCCCTGGGTTTAAACATCAAAGAGGCCCTGCCAATTTCATCAGTTTAAAAAAAGAAAGAAAAAAAGGGAAGCAGTTTGAAGTAGTGCACCTGCCCCTACGCTCCCCTGTCAACTATCGTGTTCTACAATCACACCTATTTCCTTAAGGGCTTGAGAGAGGCAGGATGGGTGAGGTGAAAAACAACTTCTATTGGCAAAGCTTCTGAACTCCACCAAGCTCTTCTTCAGGTGTGGGAAAGGGAAGGAGTGTCACATGCAAGGTGGAATAGATTGTTGCTTAAGGGCCTGGTTTTCAGAAGTGCTGGGCACCTGACAGCTCCCATTGCCTTCCATCGGAATGTGAGAGGGTTATGCAGTGAAATGTGGATGCTCGTCATCTGAAAATCAGGCCCTATGTGTTTCACACCTAGCTGCTGTGTTAAAGACCCCACACAAACAAGGAAGGGCCCAGGCCTGCAAGCACTTACATATGTGAGTCGTCCTGTAGAAGACAGGTGGACTCCTCAGCTAAGTTATCCATATGCTGATGTGCTCACAGGCCCAGGCCCTAACTGATTATACAGGGGAGAAAATTATAACAAGTGTTGTCAATCCACAGAGCAAACTGGGGGAAAAAACAAAAGAAATATATACTTTTTCTCTAGTCTCTTTCACTTAATATTAGATGATACTTGTGACAATAGTAAGTTAAATTATGCTCATTCAAGTGAGAGTGTCCCTGTAAGAATCTTCCCAGACAAGGACTGCATCTTTTTCTCTTCTCTTTTATACCCTTTAAAAACATGTTTTAGGTTTGCAATATCCATAACAAATTGCATTGCTAAACAAGCTATTTCCCTTGACCTGTGGTTTTGAGACCTTTGCATGGCTTCCTCCCAGCCCTGACCACCACCTCTTGGAAGATTACAAATAAATCAATGAAGAGCTCATGTATTCCAGTGGCCCTAGGCCTGAGCTATAGGTCCAAAATACTAAGGCCTGGTCTACACTGGGCGGAGGGGGGGGGGGGTTCGATCTAAGACACGCAACTTCAGCTACGAGAATAGCGTAGCTGAAGTCGACGTATCTTTGATCGAATTAAAATTACTTACTTAGCGTCCATGGCGCGGGATCGACGGCCGCGGCTCCCCCATCGACTTTGCTTCCACCTCTCACTGAGCTGGAGTTCAGCAGTTGACGGGAGAACGATCGGGGATCGATTTATCGCATCTACACTACACGCGATAAATCGATAGATCAATCGCTCCCCGCCGATCCGGCGGGTAGTGTAGACGTACCCTAAGAGACTGGTGGCTCTTGAAGAGCGCATTTGTTGATTAACTGTTTGCTGGCTGAATCTTGGACAGCACAGAAACCGTGTATCTAACACAGTCACATATTAATATATGCAACTCCTGGGCATCATGGGAGGTTTTTGGTGCCATTTCAATTTAAAACAAAATATAATTTAAGGGGATTTATTGTTGGTGAAAGTGTTCAGTTTTTCCACCCTGGAAGATGGAGTTCCTCTATCCATAGGGGAGGTACAGCAAGCTTCCCTATGGCTGCCCCACTGTTGTGTTTCAACTCTGAGTTGGAAGAACTCTCTCTACAAGGCACCTGGTATTAGTAGTAGTAGTAGTATTTTTTGTGGTTAGTGTTGAGTCATGGATCTAGGCCCCACTGTGCCAGGCGCTACAATCATATAATAAAAAGATGGCCGCTTCCCTGAAGAGCTTACAACTCTTGTCTCATTGTCCATTCCAGTGGTGAGATTTTTGATGGGGACACCTGTTGACTAGGGAGTAGACTGAGATCACCAAACAGCCATCCGAGGGTAATCAGTAGCTTCTGGATACCTATCTCCTGAACTGACTTTGAACCAGAAATTTGGACATTAAAAGCTCTCTCTCCCATTTACTAACTCTTGTGGTTAAATCATTCACAGGGGAAGAACTGGAGCTCTAAGGTCGTACATGGGTAACATCCATTTAATTATCCAGGCTATATACTCTAGTCTGATTGGCTGAAACAGCATCATGTGCTATACTAGAGTTCTGTTCTAGCGGGGTCAAAGCAGTACAAACATGTGTGAGACAGGACACGCACCCCCTTTCAAAGAAGTCTCCAGGCATCATTTTCATAGTTTAGCTTCTCAAAAATGTGATTTTTGTCAAAGTGTATTTTAAACAAATAGTGGCCGTTTTGGTAAACAGCCCTCATGTAATAACACTGCCCTTGCCCTGGAAATGATACCTGGAGGCTGATACAGCACAGGGGCCAATATACATTAACGCAGACTTGGTACCATTTCTTTTATATCCCATGGGGTTACTTGACCATCATTGTCCTTCAAAACAGTCACCGTGGCCCACATTTGCAGAGACAAGCGCACTTTTATGCAAGCCCAGTTAGGGACTCCGTTCCCCTCCAACCTCAAGCACAAGCTGGAATTGGCTAGATGGGCCAGGTAACTTGGGAAACTTCGAAAGGTTTTGTAAACGTATTAGTTACCACATCCCTCTCCCCCTAACACCTGGACAGTTGGACTCACAGTAAAGAAGGTAGCCTGGTGTTAAGGACAACCCAGAATACATGGTGTACAGAATACATGGTGGTGTATGGGTGCTATAAAGCTTGTATTGGAACCTGGGGACAATCCTGCATGAATCATGTGTGATTTGCCACTGTTGGGTAATGTGAACATCCCCAAGTCATGTAATAGAATATCAGGGTTGGAAGGGACCTCAGAAGGTCATCTAGTCTAACCCATCTCCAGACAGATTTTTTGCCCAAGATCCCTAAATGGCCCCCTCAAGGATTGAATTCACAACCCTGGGTTTAGCAAGCCAATGCTCAAACCACTGAGCTATCCCTCTCCCCATCAATGAAAACTTTGTAACCT